TGGTCTGGAGACGGGCCATAAAGATGATCGGGGGATGGAGTACCTCTCCTATGAGAAAAGACTGGGAGAGTTGGGTCTGTTCAGCCTGAAAAAGAGAAGACTCTAGGGGGGAAGAGAAGACTGTGGAGGGACTTTTTATAAGGGTGTGTAGTGACAGGACAAGGGACAATGGTTTTAAACTAGAGCAGGGTAGAATTAGATTAGACATTAGGAAGAAGCTCTTTACTATGAGGGTGGTGAGACACTGGAACAGGGTGCCCTGTGGTGGATGCCCCCTCCCTGGAAGTGTTCAAGGCCAAGTTGGATGGAGTTTTGAGCAATCAGGTCTAGTGGGAGGTGTCCCTGCCCATGATGGCTGAGTCAGAACTAAATGATCTTTCAGGTCCCTTCCAACTCAAGCCATTGTATGGTTCTCAGTTGTTACGATACTGCACACTTTCGTTGTGAGCGCTTTAGGTCAAGGCTTATGGTGAAGGACAGAGGGTTATGAAGTTACATCACCTAGATAACACTGTTCATGTGTGTGGCTTCTCATGTTCATTTGTTTTTTGACTGAGTTTTTCTGCATACTGTCTTGCCCTACTGGTTGATGCCTAGGAGGATGATTCCAGGACACTAATCTCATCCTGTGCATTCCTTTGCTTCTCACAGGCAAGAGAATTACATTTTGTCTCATCCTTACTTTTTTCATAGCACGTCCAGTATTACATCGCCAGAGATTAGAAATCGTAATTCATTTCTTAATCTGTGGCTTGTTAGTTATGGTTTAGTCACATGGTCAAATTACAGCAGATTAGCAAATTGCCACGTTGGGTGAATCACAGTAACTGTGCATATATGTGATCTTTAGTTCACAAGAAATATGAAATAGTTCATTTTTTTTTAATATGCAGCGGAGGAGGATTATTTTAAATCACGTTAACTGTCATTACTGTGCTATTACCCTAAAAGGCGAGTAAGAATATTTTAGATTTATTGTATTATCCTGCATAGCTAGTACAATGGTGATTAAAACTATTGCAAGAAATATTTCAGTTTATAATAATTTAATTCTCAGTATAGCTTCTTACAGGCATTTTTTTGCTTAAGAGTTTCCATTCTGCCATCAGCTAGGATTAAACAGATGGCCTGATAGACTTGGTTGACTATGCGTGGACTTGGGAAATTTTTATTTTTAAAGATCTTGCTTGTGCAATTATAGGGTAACTTAATCACAGAACCAAAATAAACCTGTCTTTTTCTTCTTTGTTCAAAGATTTTAAAGGAAAGATATTGTTTCTTAAACTGGTATTTTATTTTCTTTTAGATGGTATAGTCCTAGTCAAATCCTTTTACAATGTTCTGGGTTTGAGAAGCTTGTCTGACTTTAGTTAGAGATCAAATAAATGGGTTGCTGCCATTTGCTAAGTCATCGCTTGTCACCTGAGTCTTGGTAACTTAACATATGGGCCTTCATTCCCACTGATGGTAAAATATGTTAAATAATTTTAAACCTGTTTCACTGTAGGCTTGCATTTACCATGGGCAAGGAGCATAAGTGTGGGAAACACAGGAACTCAGTTGTTGGGCAGTCGGTTGTTGAAGTGTTGGGTGTATATGTGTCAGTCCTTAAATTGGTACTAATGTTTCTAGCCTAGTTGTTTTCCTCACTATTCCAATATAAAAGCAGCACTTCCACCTTTAAATTAGGATTTTTCCTATATGAGTTTCTGATTTCACAGCTGAGGATCAAAAGACACCAACAATTAGAAGACAGCAGAACATTGAGTGAGGGATGTCTGCTACCAGTACAGTGGTAGCTTCCAAAGCCAGACTGCTGGTGTTGAGGTTTTTTTTTGCCATGTGCTGGCAACATTACTAGCAGCTCACAAAAGAAATGCTGTTTTCTTGTCACTTCCTCAGCTGATGGTTAGCAGTGTAACAAAAACACCGCCAGGCTTGTGCTTCACTCCATGGGAGCCCTTGGCTGTCCCACTCCACTTCTTCATGGGCATTAGAAGTCTGGGTGAGAGATGAAATAATTAGTTTCACAGTGGGTTAGAATGTACTGATCTGGCTGGCAGGCAATGAGGACAAGGTGGTGTGCTGGAGCCCCTGGACAAATCCAGTCTGCTTCGTAGTATTCATCAGTTGATAGAGTAGAATTCAGTATGTCTCTGGATGACTGGAGTGAAGAAAGAAATCACAGAAAACTAATGAATAAAATGGATTATTTTTTCACAGTGGGCATATTTACTTCAAATAGTTTAGTTAATACTTTAGTTAATAGTTTACTTAAAATAATCGTGTATCCCTGTACATTCTACACAGAAAAATCCTAACCCGTGTTACCAAGTGGCAGAAGAAAAGTCTTACTTAAAACTTTTTTTCCTTGTAGTTTATTCTCAGTGTTAGATTGGACTACAGGATATCCTACATGCTGTCTATCTATAAGAGAGAGTTTGGGGAGAACAATGAAAACGCTGATTGCTCTACAGCATCCCCGCCTGACACACCAGGGATTGCCTCAGGTAACTGTTGCTATTTTATTGCAATATAAAATAATTACATATAACTACTGCAAGCCATGAGCTCAGCTACACCAGAAAGATGCATACCACTTACAGTTGAAAAGCTTGCGGAAAAGTGGAAATTTTAAGATATCCCATAAAAACAAGATTTTTGCTGCCCTGTCCTCCTCTGACAAAAATGTGACCCCTTTTTCCTGCAATGACAGTTTATTCTCTTACTTGTACGCTTCCCAAAACACTGCATGAAGACAAATGCAATGGAGGGTAAATTATAAAAAAATGTTTGGGGTTGGACGAGGACAGGTTTAAGTGAGGTGAATGTGATGTGGGAATGGGGTGGTTTGCCAGGTTCGTGTGTGCACAGAAGTGCCCAGAAGGCTGACCCCTGTCTGTGGGACCGCTTGCAAGGAGGAGAGAATTGCTGCAAGGAAAGGTGCTGTGTGACAGAGGAGTGGCTAAGGAGTACACCAGTCTTAAGTAGTAGGGGGTGTTAAAGCTACCTTAAGGTAAAATGACGGCATGGTGAATGATTTGGTTTATGATAAATATTCTAAAGTTCACATGTCTGCTTTGTGGCGATTGGCTCTTGTTACAAAAAAAATAAAGTAAAAGTTTCATACTCTGTGTCACTTGTGGGTCGCTGGTGATGGTTTGCACAGTTCCTACCACCATGGGGCTCTGGTTCATCACTATAATTTGGCTCTTTCTCAGTAATACACAATTTAACTGTTCCATGTCTTATTTCTTCCCTACTACTCTTGCAGATAGTGAATTTTGCCTAGTTGAGGAATGCATAGTTAGATCTTTACTTGATAACATCTACTTTAAAAGGGAACAGAGTTCTGTTTTGCTGTGCAGGTTAAACAGCGCTCACTGGCTTTTTCGTAATTATTATTTATTGTATTTTTTTTTCCAGCAGTTGTTCCTGACATAGATGAAATTGCAGCTCAGGCTGAAACCATGTTTGCTGGCAGGTATATTCTTTGAGGTTTTGCCTCCCTCTCTCTTTCTCTGTTCATGTTGATATTTCTTATTTTCATACTCCTTTCTCTTCCTTTGGATGCTTCTTATTTCATAACCTGGATATAGACAGAAAAGTGCCAGAAAAGTCCTGAATTTCAAACAAGTCTCGCTGGTGTGGATGGCTGTGGGACTGGGAATGACCACCCTCTTAGTTGTAAGATAGCTAGCAGAAAGCTTTTATCATGTTCCCAAAGGCAGCTGGGGAATGGTGAACAGGTATATTTGGCTAAAACACACTGATTATTTATTTCTCTTAAAATGCCTTACATGGGTGCTTTTAAACAAAGACCTTTTTCTGATGTACTGTGTGTAAGGCTGTAGCCCCACATTTCTTTAAGCAGCAGGTTACTGTTGACCCTCAGTATTCCTCATAGGCCACATGACCTATTGTGCTTGTACCTTGCGTTTGAACTTATTTAGAAAGCTATGTCATATGACTCCTCGTATCAGCTATGGAACTCTTGCCATGATCTTCTGGACCACCAGAGGCTGCAAGCTATGCTTGCAGAGTTTTGGAAGTGGTTTCAGCTATCCTGTGAACACACACACACAAAAAAAAAGCATGGAAAATATTCACACTGGAGAGTTATTACCATTATCACTATATTAGTTTAATTTTATGGGTATAATTGTAATTATACCAGCAAAAATGAATTCCATTTAGACAAAGCCATAGACTTTAAAGTTTTTCTTGGAGCTAGAGAGAAGGAGCCTCAACATGGGTACTCTGATCTTTCCTCTCTCTGTCCCTTATGCATTCTCAATTTTTACGAGCACAAGCAGTGCCTCCAGTCCTCTCCCCGAATTCCCATAATGTAAAACAACACATAGCCCTTGGCATCTGTATCAGAGAACAGAGAAACTGAACGGCTTCTTGGAAAAATTATTTCTGCTTTGATATGTTAAGTGTAAATCTGCTTTCTGCCATTCCAGATTATGAATATGATTCTAGAAATACGATGCTTTTGGCAGTTCTTACTAATTTTGTACTTATTTTCCTTTAAATGAAATTTTAATAGCAGCTGAAAAGGGAAGGAATGAAAAGGAAAGGGCCAAATTAATCTCTGATGAAATGCTGTTTACTTCAATTAATTTGGGTTGTGTATGAGCTTGGCACAATTTATCCAAGACATAAATGAAAGTTTTTGCAATATGGATTTTAATCAGAATATTTGACACCTTTAATACCTAACTTACTTTCATTCATTAGTGTCCATTCTGCCACAAGATTGCTGCAACAGCATATAACTGTAGGATTGAAGTCCTTATAAAACGTGTTAAAATAATGCTTATAGTTTCCATCGTGCAGTGTATTTGATTTGTTTTTAAGAGCTCTGTCAAATGACGATTGTGTGTGCTGGCATATTTATGTCACAAGCTTTTATTTTTTTCTTATTTATTTTACTTTCTTTGGTCTGGTTTTCCTGTTTCTGTTGCAGAAAAGAGAAGAATGCAGTTCAGCTTGATGATGAAGGGGGCAGAACTTTTTTACGGGTCCTCATTCACCTCATTATGCACGACTACCCTCCTTTGCTCTCAGGTGCTCTGCACCTGCTATTTAAGCACTTCAGCCAGAGAGCTGAAGTTCTGCAAGCATTTAAGCAGGTATGGAGGGTGCGCCTAGCGTTATTCCAGGAAAATAGCTGCGGGGAAAATCTTTCTGAAGGCTGCTTTACTTACTTAAATTGCTCTTTGTAGCGTGGCAGTGTTATTTCCTTAGAGGCCCAAATTCAGCAGAGATTTTAATTTTTTTTGTGTGTTAGAGTTGACCATATGTGCTAGCGTATATTATAGTTGTGCACCGAGAAATAGTTATTTCTGGCATTGTATCCATTACTGAAAACGTAGGTCTGTGGTGACAGCTGGGACACACACATCTCGTGGCGAGACACGACATAGTGATCCCTCAGAGACAGAGTTAGTAGCCCGTGTTCCCTAGGCAGCGTACTGGTGTTGGCAGTAAGACTTTCCTGGCTTCAGGGCAACTTAGGTTGGGTATTAAAGGTCTTGTTAATTGTGTGGTCTTTCTAGTTCTAATTCAGGTGTCTCTCACGCGGTGTGCTCCACTGCGTGATGCAGATATGCCCAGTGATAGAGCCCAGCCTGTTTCCAGTTTTTATTCTTTCTGCATGCGCAGGCTCCATGTGTCAGTGGATTAGGATGGGGAGATCTGATGTCATGGAGCTGGATGACAGAGACATCTCTGTTACGTAACCCTGTATAACATATGTTGATAAGACCATCTGATGCTTATTTCAGGAGTTTGATAGCGTGTTGTCTCATCGTTATGTAAGATGTGGAGATTTCTCTTGTTTAAAAACAGATGAATGATAAAGACCTGGAAAGCTTTTGTTTAATGTTTTCGCAGTGCAGCATAATGGCCCTCCCCAGGTTGTTAAAGTTAGGCCATGCTGGTCAGTTGCGTAAATAGCTGTTATTTCCAAGTAATCAAGGACTGAGGAGCTTAACATGGTTTCATAAAGGATGAAGAAGGCTAATTGACAAATAAACAAAAAAGACTTGGAAAATGAATGTAGATGATCAGCATTCATAAATTCTGTAAAATAACAAGGTATTGCCAAGATACGGAAGAAGATAATGAAAACTTTATATTACAAAATAGTGATTCTTTTAAAAAAAGAATGTTCCTATCAGTGTTCTTGTCTGCCATGTGACAGTAATCTTTTACGTAAATGTAATTTCTTAACAGTGCTTATTGATTTATTGTAAAGATTGTTGTTAGGTTTTTTAATATTATTTTCATTAATAATCTTAGTAAAGCAAAATGCATCAGAAAGAAAGGAAATGGGCAGATTATGCTAAATCAAGAACTACAAATAACTGAAAAAAACCCCAGATAATCTGAGCAGTACAAAAAAAAAAAAGTGAGATTAATCTTAGTAAGAAGCGGCTACTCAGATGGTGGGAAATTACATGAACCTGAAAGTCAGTTGGTGAGCTATATCCCACCACGTTTTTCCAGGCTGGCCTAACAGTGTGAAAATGTGTTCCTTTTCAATATTTGATTATGGTGACATAGGCAATCATTAAAGTTGCTAGCCATTCTGACTTTTCTTTGGATATCCTGATTTCTTGTCATGTCATCCTTTTTTTTTTTCCCTTGTGAAGAGAGCTGATGGGATGAGCTATTTCTAACTGTATTGCTCTACTACCTCATAACTATTGTTTTAGTACCATGAAGATCATATTCAGTGCATTAGAGCTAACTCTGAACAGAGCACAAGAGCTTGTAAATCTGTGCTTGTGCTGAAAATGTTCGCAGTGTATTAAAGAAGGCAAGAGAATGCTGTGAATGTTGTAACTATCCTGTTTTGGGCAACCACAGTCTCCAGCTCTCTTAAAGGTTTTTGATGAATGGAGGCTAAAAAGACTGCATGTGCCATGTTTCAATTTCATGGAGAAGGTTATGTAAAGCACCTGAAAAGAGTGCCTTAGAATGGAAACTGTCAAGTGAATTACCCAGGCATAAGTGCTGGTGCTACTGCTGTAATAGCTTCACGATTTTCTGTATTTCCAGGTTCAGTTGCTGGTGTCGAATCAAGATGTCGATAACTACAAGCAAATCAAGGCTGATCTTGATCAGCTACGTCTGACTGTAGAAAAATCAGAATTGTGGGTTGAGAAGAGCAGCAATTATGAGAGTGGAGAGGTGGGCGACAGTCAAACCAAAGGGGGAGAAGAGCCAATAGAGGTGGGATTAAAACCTTTGCTGTTAGAATTGTTTCAATATTGATAGGTAGCTTAATGAACTGCAAATTTTTGGTCTGGGTAGCCAAAGTAGCAAAGTGAGAACGTGCACTATTCTGGCAGAGCTTTAGGAATAGACAGAATAGGAAGTGAAACCTCTTTAATCAATGTGTTCAATATTTTCTCCCACTGCTTTCAATAACTGCATTCTTATGTCTCAGAGCAGCTTTCCCTTCTGGCTCCCAGGAAGCCAATGTGTGGCATCACTCTGTGGCCAAGGAAGTAATCTAGTGATCACATGTTGGCAGTTGTTTTGGCTTGCTGGAAGAGGGGAGTAGACAGTACCTGCATCTAGGCGAAAGAAGCACAATCAAACTTATATTCTCAGACATCATAAGTAATTCCACTCTCCACCAAACATAAGGCTGACATGAGAATATTGAAATGTTATAGGTGAAGTAACATGTTTGGATTTGGTTTTTTTGACCCTTTTCATACCACATTCTTGGGATATACTGTGATTTGAGAAACTTTAGAACTTGAATTGGCAGCCACGAAGATCTGATTTTTCTTTAAATTTAATTGATCTTTTTAAAAAAAATTTGTTTTCAGTGACATCTGAGGTCCTCAGGTAATCACCTGACACCACTCTGAGTATTTAAGAACATACAAAGTGTTGCAAGAGTTGTTGTGGTTGAGGTTTGTGGAATAACAGTAGATAGAGCAGGCTTTCCCACCAATATTTATTCCCACTTTTCCATTTTTATCAGAGGAAGTGGGGAGATATGAACAACTGCAATTTCTGACACAGCACTTTCCATGTTCTCTTCCATGGTAGAGTCTTTCCTGGTGTCAAGAAAATGGCATGAAAGCCACCAGGAGAAGCTTAGTAGGAAACATAAGGGGAGATTATACAGCATTGTGAAGGCAATGCCGTGTAATAAGAAAAGTAGGAGCCGTTCAGAAGAGACAGAATGTTTGCAGAGATCTGAGACATACACTTGGCCTTTCAGATGGGAAAGCACATTTCAGGTGGCTTCATAGGGGAGAAAATCTAACACTTTGAGGGAGAATCCCTATTTCTTGGGATGGTGTAGGTCCTACTCTTTCTCTGATGTAATAGCAGAATTTAGTGGTGTCAGAACTGGGGAGGAGTCTGGACTTTATGAGCTTAAGAATGTGGGATTTACAACTTCCTTTGCTCAAGCATAGCTCTAGTAGGAAAGATGATGTTCCTTTATTTACTTAATGAATGGAAGAGGTAATGGGGGAACAGGATGCAGAATTGCAGCAGGATATTTACAAGATTTTTTTAGCTATAATACATTTTAAAAGTATAGTAAGATCCTCTTCATTCTACAAATAACCCTGATAGCAAAGAAACTCCAGGAGGAAGGGATGAAACAAAGTGCTTGAAAGAGGAGCATTTCTAAATGGGATACTTTCAGTGTGGGGTTTTTTCCTCCATGAGGCATCTGTGGGCCTGTATGGATCAGCAGTGCTTCAGTAGATGCACAGTATTATTTCTGGCTGATCTGAGAGAGTATTTTATCAGAACAATAATATATAATCTGCACAACTGGTTAGATCATCTGGTGGCAAATCCACAAGAGCCGTGCCAGGTTACAATAGCTAAGAATCTTGTCCATTGTTATTTCCCCTGTTAAACTATTCTTTAACAGCCAGGAACTTATTTTACCTGGCAAAACCACTTCAGATAGTGAATACTCTCTTTGAGATCTTAAGTCAGACTTAAGAAGTAAGGTACAATTTGTGAAGCAGGTGGCTAGCTTCAAGCAGATAAACATGCCAGTGAGATCCCATTCTTTCTTGGAACAGATGCTAGGTATTCAGTACCAAGCTGGATGAACCTCTAGGACTTTAGGGAATATGTTTCATTTGCCTGTGCTTAATTTTTCCCAGACAACATTGAAGTGTGCGCAAGGGCTTGAATTGCATTCTGGAATAGTTTTATGTTAAGCCCAAATTTGTAGAAATCTGTAGAAAAAAAGGCCATGCTCTTCTAAATAAAGTATCTAGAGTTCTCTGCAGGAAATACAACAGATCTTACCTCTGTGCAGGATCATCCTGACAGGAACTGGAGATTAGAATTATAAGAAAAAGTACTTGGAGTTGGGTCAGACAAAAATCAGGCTCCATGCAGGATTAGGAAGAAATACTAAATTTAATCTGACATAACTGAGCCTTACTCAAGAAGGAAAAAGCAGGTAAAGCCTATTTACTGGGTTATCTCTAATTAAGGGTGTTATGAGTCTGTATAGATACTGTGGACTGTGGAAAGTGTTGTCTTTATTTCACTTTCTGTGGAGGATATACTGATAGTGTAGCACCAGAAACACAGATCTCAGGAAGAGAAATAGACAGTCTTGGTGAAAAGACTGGCGGATGAAGCTGGAATACAGGCAGCGGCATTTATAGACCACCTCATCTTTGCCATCTTCCTGAGAAAGTTCAGCAAGGTTTCAAGTGGTATGAACTTGCACTAACCCTTAAACCCCTGGTATTCCTTGCTCTTCTCCTTTTCTGGTCTGTGGTGGTCTGCTTTGTTTCTAGGGAAACTTCTGAGGGTGCCCCTCATTCCTCCAGTCAGTAAATCATAAAATCACAGAATGTTTGGGGTTGGAAGGGACCTCTAGAGATCATCTAGTCCAGCCCCCCTGCCAGAGCAGGATCCCCTAGGGCAGCCACACAGGAACATGTCCAGGAGGGTTTTGAAAGTCTCCAGAGAAGGAGACACCAAAACCTCCCTGGGCAGCCTGTGTCTGGGCTCTGTCACCCTCACAGTAAAGAAATTTCTCCTCATGTTGAGGTGGAACTTCCTATGTTCTAACTGAAACCCATTATTTCTTGTTCTACTGCTGGACATCACTGAGAAGAGATTGTCTCCTTCCTCTTGACACCCACGCTGCAAGTGCAGCCTAGGCAGGGCAAAGCTGTGCCAGCAAGATGCTGATGGGTGCTTTGCACAGCCGTCCTGCTAAGATGAGCAAGGCTATTTCAGTGGTGGGGAACTGCTCGGAATTAATGCTGTAATCTGGGCCTCCCTTTTGGGGCTACAAAGAAAAGAGAAGACTGATGCAAAGTGTTATCACGGAAATTTTATGAATAGAGCAAGTAGTCTTTTCCAGAAAATGCCATTTCCTAAAGGTGGGGTACTTGGGTGAAAACCTTTCTCAGTGCAGTCCTGATGTCTCCCTTGTCCTCTATGGAAAAGGGTGACAGAGAATGTCGATCATGAGGCGTAACAAGGCAAGATATGCAACTGAGTGTCTCTGGTATCCCAGTGGTGTGATCATCTCTTGTTAACTACATCCCTGGCATACTCTTATGGGCTCAATAAAGAGGTTTTTATTTTGTTAAGGGAAAGGATAGATCCAGCAGTTTAATGCTGATCAGCGTTTCCAGATAAGACATATAGTTCACATAGATTATAAAACAACTTTGATTGAGGAAGAATGCTGATAAAAGTAACAGGTAAATTAATCTTGGTTAACCCACGGTCCCAGAACAGAGGAGGGTGGTTAATTATAGCAAAAAGCCTGAAATATCTTCTAAAGTATTGATTCAAACAGCTAAAGAGAAGGCAGCATGCATACTAAAAAACCTACACAAATAAAAATCCACTGTTGTTGCATAGATCAACGTGACCACACTGAACAGCAGTGCTGACACCATTGTAAACAGCTTCCATGGCCAGGTGATGTAGCTGTTCTTGCCCCACTGAAAATTAAGATCAGATGGGATTTATAGACCTCCTCATCTTCACCATCAGCTAGGAGAGTTCAGAGGGAGGTTTCAAGAGGTATAAACATTCAGACTGGCGTGCATGTGTAGGTTTTAGCATAATTCTCTTCTCTAAAACAGTCAGAAGTTTAAGGACACAATGAAATTCAGAAGTGCACCTGTTTGGTTCTTCTTTGTGCTATTACACTGGTTTACACTCTTGTGATTATTCTGTGAGACAGTCTTGAGATCAGCTACAGTTTTTCTGCATGTTAATAATTTCAGCATCCAAAGTCCAGTCTTTCAGTTATCTATGTTTCCAGATAAGAAAGGCTTGCTATAGCTGGTAGCAGAACTACTAGTATTCTAAGTGGCAGTATTTGTGTGGATGTTCTTCTGCACTTTGATTGAGATATGCATGGAAGGATGTGTCTGTGTTTGCAGTTACTTACTGACTTAATTTCTCTTACTTATCATATCCAGCTGGGGCTTTCTAAGGGCCAAAGCCCGGAGCATATGGCATCATAACTGGATGATGCAGTTTAACATAAGGTTCTCATTTGTTTTTAAATCCTCCCCTGTATCACCCAGATATAAGGACAAAAGTGTCCTCTTCGTGGGAGAAACTTCTCTAATTTCCATGTGCTACTTGTTTCTGTACAGCTGAGAAACTCCACCCTACTTACCTCATCTACAGAGGTCACCTTAAACTCTTTCTTCAGGCATTTTGATGTTCACATACATAAACTTTGTAATCTTTCCAGCTGTATTAGAGATTTTTGGAACAAGTGGTGGCTACTGAAATACAGTTATGGTCCCTATTCCCATATTATCTAAATTCCTTCAGATGTCTAGTCTGTGGTTTAGGTATGTATTCTTTTTTAGGAGGATCAGAAGTGTGAAGACATAGAATAATTGCCTCAAATCATGCTGAAAATTTGAAACAAAGGAAGGAATGGAATGTGAATATTTTCATTCCCTAAACTGGTGGACAAAGAATAAACGAGTGCTTTTCTTTATTATCTGTATTAAATTGGTTACCTATGACCTGCTGTAATACTTCTTCATTTGCTGTTATTAAATATAATTAGTTCATGTTGAGGAATTTGCAATAGATCTCCATTTGTTTTGTGTTCTTTGTATTTGACAGGAGTCAAATATTTTGAGTCCAATACAGGATGGGACCAAAAAACCCCAGATTGACAGCAATAAAAGCAATAACTACAATATTGTTAAAGAGGTTGGTATATCTTCTAAGAAACTTGATTAGCATACTTGTTTGATAAGTAGATTTAGTAATTATTTTGAAAGAATGTGTCTTTCTTTGGTTTTGTGTGACATGACTGATCCTTTCCTTGCTTGCATGCTTATTTATTTGTTATTTATTTGTAGATTCTGATTCGACTCAGCAAACTTTGTGTTCAGAATAAAAAGTGTCGGAATCAACAGCAGCGATTGCTGAAGAATATGGGTGCCCACTTGGTTGTCTTGGACCTTCTGCAGATACCCTATGAAAAGGTTATTCTCATGATTTTAGTGGTAAAGAACATGAACTCAGTAAAGGGAAAGGCAACATGAGGCCCAAGAATCAATGTGAATATTTTTTTTAATTGACTTCAGTGAACTATGGTACAAACATGAAATGATTATGTCATTTTCTACCTTAAGAATAATGGATTTGGGCCTAAGTTTTGATATGGCTGCCTGCAGAGAACAGATTTTATTAAGAACTTAATATTTACTGCCTCAGCTACCTGGATGTCACTACGCTGTCATCCCATTCCTGAAATGGGCAAGCTTTAGACCTGCAGTCACTGCACTGTAAGAAGTACTGATTTAATGGAGCTCCTGGCAGGTTCCGCTGATGTGAGTGCTCTCATAGATACATAAGATGGACAAAAAGCTTTCAAGGATCCAGTCTGAAATAATGTCTGTGGTGGAAGGCTCTAACCTAGTTGCAAGTTTTTCAGAAAATAATGTGATTTTGTCCTGATTTAGTGGCACTGAGCATACAAATGAATGATCTGGATAGCCTTTTAAAGAGCCCATCTTTCTGGATCTTATAGCAAGTATTGAGAGGAAACAAAACCTCTTCTGAGTTACATTTTCCTGAGTTTTACGTACAAATACTATAATAGAGACACTGGGTTCAGCTGTCTTCAGTAAAATAGTCGTCTGTATAGATGGTTCATCAAATCATAGTTAGATGAAGAGGAATATAAAAAGGAAGTAAAAATAGATGTATATTTATTTGGGAGTATATGTATGAACATAGATATTCATGTAGGTGTTCACACACATGCATGCATACATCTGTTTCTATATGTTGCTACATAAAAGCCAAACCTTTTCCAAAGCTTAAAGTCAACGTAGACTAGAGATTTTTTTTTTTTAAAGAAATCAAACCACTTAGCAGTTTTTCAAGCCAGGAAACTATAACTATTACTTATGACTCCCTATGGTCAAGTTGATTCAGAGTAAGGTGCAGCCACTATTGGACTCTGAAGGAATCTAGAATCTAGATCAGTTGCTTTTGCCAGAGGGACAATTCCTGCCCTACAAAGGTTAAGGAGAATTAGTTTGTTCCTGGCAGAATTCATCTTGTATGGTTTTAACAAGTATGTTTAGGTATGGCCAGCTGATTTTGTGTCTCTTTTCTGTCTGCAGAGTGATGAAAAGATGAATGAAGTTATGAACCTAGCCCACACTTTTCTTCAAAATTTCTGTCGAGGAAATCCTCAGAATCAAGTTCTCCTGCACAAAAATCTCAACTTGTTTTTAACTCCAGGGGTAAGTATTTAATTCTAAGATAGTATTCATCCTAACTCACAAATGGACTGCAATTCAAGGTAGAAGATGCTGTGACTGTCACAGAATGTTAGGGGTTAGAAGGGACCTCTGAAGATCATCTAGTCCAAGGCCTCTGCAGGATCCTCTAGAGAATGTCAGACAGGAACACTTCCAGGTGGGTTTTGAAAGTCTCCAGAGAAGGAGACTCCACAGCCTCTCTGGGCAGCCTGTGCCAGTGTTCTGTCACCCTCACAGTAAAGAAATATTTCCTTATGTTTAGGTTGAAACTCCTGTTTTCCAGCTGGTGACCATTACTCTTTGTCCTGTCAGTGGACACCACTGAAAAGAGTCTGGCCCCACCTCTCGACACCCATCCTTTCAGCATTGATAAGATCCCTCCTCAGCCTTCTCCAGACTAAAAAGATCCAAGTCCCTCAGCCCTATCTCATAAGAGAGATGCTCCAGTCCTCCTAATCATCTTAGTGGCTCTGTGCTGGACTTTTGCCAGCAGTTCCTTGTCTCTCTTGAACTGGGGAGCCCAGAACTGGACGCAATATTCCAGATGTGGCCGCACCAGGGCAGAGTCGAGAGGGAGGATGACCTCCCTCAACCTGCTTGCCACGCTTTGCTTAGGGCTGTCGTGAAGCTTGTGTGACAACAGAATCAGACCCATACATTTTTGTTGATGATGCTCCCAACTGATTCAACCAATTGAAAATTTGATCTTCTGTTAAATCATTGTCTTTCAATAAACCTCTTTGTCACAGTCCCTTTGTGTGTATGTACATGTGTTTTTACGGATGCAGTCATATAGAATAACACCTTGCTCGCTGGCAGAACTGCTGAGCAAAACACGTTTTTATTGGAAAAAGCATGAGTGTTAGGACTGTAGACCCCTGCCCTGTATGCATTAGGAAACATTTATTCTGTTTATTTTTTATTTGTGCTTTTTTTGTGAAGTTAGTGAAAGGCACTTAGATGGCCATAGTGGGGACTAGCACCCAGACTCGACACAGTGACAACTCAGTCACCAAGTATGGAGCTTGCTTGCACTTCTGTTCTTTTGAAGTTGATCATCTGGTCATCCCAGTTATTGTACTTTTGTTCGCTTTGCGGGACAAACTTGGATTCCTTTCAGATGTCACTAAATGGAAGGGTATACTCTAGGAGTACATCAGACTCTCATGAACCTTTAGTCCAAGGGACCAAACTAGAGTGAGTTTGAAGCAAATATCCCAAGAATGCATGAAGTCTGGCTGCGGGACCCTCAGTAGCACCCCTTTCTTGCTACAGATCTGTTCCTCTTGTACCACGCTACTCACAGATAGAAGCATAGCCTTAATCTCCCCCTGTAGCTAATATAGAAAGAGACATTCTCTCTGAGACTGATCACACTGCACATGCAGTGAGTTGCTGGCTCAAAATGCTTGCCTCTGTCAACCAGAGAGCGAGCCAGAGGTAGCTAATCATCTTGTCTGGTTGCCTCAATGCAAAGTTTAATGGTGAGTGGGACGAACATGGTCTCAGCTGTCCTGTATACCAAAGTCCCTATTGAGTGCTCTAGCAGTGTCGAGTGTGTGTCTGTAGTATGTCATCACCTTCGGCATGGGCACAGATTTTGTTTATATCCACTGGAGGACCATTTTGTACTCATAGGAATATGTGGAGAAATCCCATCATAAATGAAAGCTAGGCCTTCAGCTCACTGCCACTGCTTAATCACTGGGCTGGTGCACACCGGACTTTTCCAGTTTCCCTTTACAAATGTGCCTTTCTGTAGTCTAGAGTCATGCGAATCTCTGAAAATCTGCTCTTCATGTAACGCTGTTTTGATTTTAATATGTTTAGCTCCTGGAAGCTGAAACCATGCGGCACATCTTCATGAATAATTATCTTCTGTGTAATGAAATTAGTGAAAGAGTGGTGCAGCACTTTGTACACTGCATTGAGACCCATGGCCGTCATGTGGAGTACCTGCGTTTCCTGCAAACCATTGTGAAAGCAGATGGCAAATATGTGAAAAAATGCCAGGACACGGTAATGACAGAGGTAAGTGAAAGGTTCATTTGTTAATCACTCACATGGCGCCTTTTTAACACTCTAGTATTTTGAGGTTACTTTTTCTGCTCTTGATACCAGTGGAATATAATGGCATCATCACTTTAGAATTTTAAATGGTAACACAAATAATGAATATTTTAGCAGACATTTTTGGGAGTTTAATCTAATTTTGTAAGGCCATCTGTATAACTACTAGGAAGAAAACATGAGTGTTAGCATGGTGATACAGAGATGTCTATTTGTAGATGATGTAGCATGGAAATCTCAGAGTTACATAAACCTTCATTTTCCTGTACTGTTATTTAAGATCCCATTTATGCACCAAACTTGCCATATTGTGAAATGGTTTTGCCATATAAGAGGCTCTTACGTCTATGGATCTATCTAAATAGTGTTATAGGCTGGGTTTTATAGCACGGAACTGTGCAACAGTTCTAGGTACTAGTTTCTGCTTTTATTTCTTTTTTCTAGAGCATTTCTGAGAGAGTTAGTAAATTCCACAAAGTGGTTTGTGGACAAATCTTCATGCCGGTAAAGTTACTAGGAAAATACCTAACTGATTTCACTGCAGTTAGGATTTGATATATAGCGTGCACGAATAATCACAGAATCACAGAACGTTAGGGTTTGGAAGGGACCTCTGGAAATCAAGTCCAGCCCCCCTGCCAGAGCAGGACCACAGAACCTAGGACAGGTCACATCAGAACGCATCCAAACAGGTCTTCAGAGAAGGAGACTCCACAACCTCTCTGGGCAGCCTGTTCCAGTGCTCTGTAACCCTTACGGTAAAGAAGTTCTTTCTCATGCTGAGGTGGAACTTCCTGTGCTCTAGCTTGCATCCATTGCCCCTTGTCCTTTCACAGGGCGCAAGTGAAAAGAGGTTGTCCCTTCCTTCTTGACGCCCAGCCCTTATATATTTATATACATCAATTAGATCCCCACTCAGTCTTCTCGTCTCCAGACTAAAAAGCCCCAAGTGTCTCAGCCTTTCCTCTTAAGGCAGGTGTTCCAGCGCCTTAATCATCCTCGTAGCCCCCCATTGGACTCCCTTAGGTAAATCTCTGTCCTCCTTGAACTGGGGAGCCCAAAACTAGATGCAATACTCCATGTGAGGTCTCACCAGGCAGAGTAGAGGTGAAGGAGAACCTCCCTCAATCTGCTGAACACACTCTTCTTAATGCACCCCAGAATACCATTGATCCTCTTGGACACAAGGGCATATGGCTGTCCCATGGATAACTTGTTGTCCACCAGGACTCCAAGGTCCTTCTCCATGAAGCTGCTCTCTAGCAGATCGCCTCCTAACCTGTACTGATGCATTTTATTACTCCTTCCCAGGTGCAGGACTCTGCACTTATTCTTGTTGAACCTCATTAGGTTCATCTTTGCCCAGCTCTCCAGTCTTTCCAAATCTTGCTGAATGGGCACACAGCCTTCAGGTGTATCAGCCAAACCTCCCAGTTTCATATCATGAGCAAACTTGCAGAGAAGACACTCTGTCTCGTCATCGAGGTCACTGATAAAGATGTTGAACAGGACTGGACCCAGCACTGATCCCTGGGGGACTCCACTACTTACAGGTCTCCAGCTGGACTTGCCACCATTGATCACCACTCTTTGGGCACTCTTGTGTAGCCAGTTCTTAATCCACCTCACTGTCTCTTCTTCCGTCCCACACTTCCTGAGCTTGCTCATGAGGATGTTATGGGAGACTGTGTCAAAAGCCTTTCTAAGGTCAAGGTAGACTACATCCACTGCTCTTTCTGCATCTACCCATTCAGTCACAACATGACACCCGGAAGTGTTCCTGTCTAACCTTCTCAGACTTCCAGCCTTCCCTCCTCCAGGCTTTCTCTCCTACATCCAGGGTCTGTAGTTCACAGGGGCTGGTCTTAGGAGTAAAGACTGAAGCAAAGAAAGTATTCAGCAACTCTGCCTTCTCTGCATCCTCGCTTGTCAGGGCTGTCACCTCATTCGGTATTGAGCCCACATTTTCCTTATTCTTCCTTTTACTACTGATATATTTGAAGAAGCCCTTTCTTTTTTTTGTCTTTTGCTTCCTTCACCAGTTTTAGTTCTAAGAGAGCTTTGGCCTTTGTTGTTGCCTTCCGTCATATCCTGACAACTTCCCTATAGTTCTCCCAAGTGACAAGTCCCTTCTTCCACAAATTGTAAATTTCTCTCATTCACGAGACTTCCTTCAGAAGCTCCTTCCTCATCCATGCAAGTCTCCTAGCATGTCTGATTTTTTACCCAAGGGAATGCACCTACCTTGGGCTTGGAGGAAGTGGTATTTAAAAATTGACCAACTTGAGCTCCCTTACCCTGCAGAGTCGTAGGCCACGGGATTCCTGCAAGTAGATCTTTGAAGAATACAAAGTTAGCCCTGCAGAAGCCCAGGCTTGTAATCCTACTTATTGCCCTGCTTCTTCCTTGTAGGATACTAAACTCCACCATGTCATGATCACTGTCACCAAGGCTGTTCCCAGTCTTAATGTCCCCAAGCAGTCCTTCTTTATTCGTTAATACAAGGTCCAGCAGTGCACCTCTCCTCGTTGACTCCTTCACTACCTGTGTCAAGAAGTTATCATCAATGCACTGTAAGAGCCTTTTGGACTGAATATGCCTAGCTGTGTGGGCTTTCCAACAAATATCAAGGTGATTGAAGTCACTCATGAGTTCCAAGGAGTGTGTTCTGGAAGCTACCTCATTGACTGTAGAAGGCCTCATCAACATCTTCTTCGTGGTTTGGTGGTCTGTAGTAGACACCCACAACAGTTTCACTCCCCTTTTGCATGTCACTTAATTCTTAGCCACAAGCTTTCAACCTGTTCTACCTCCCTCCCTGGATAGAACTCAATACATTCCAGTTGCTCTTGCACGTAAAGAGCAACACCACTGCCTCTCCTTGTTGGTCTGTCTTTCCCAGATAGTACCTAGCCACCCACGGCAACTTTCCAGTCATGGGAGTTGTCCCACCGTGTTTCAGTGATGGCGATTATATCATAGCCATGCAACCTAATGCAGATCTCCAACTCCTTCTACTTATTCCCCATACTCTGTGTTATTTGTATATATGCATTTCAGAGAGCAAGTTAAGCAATTAGTTTTCACTCTTGCTACCTGAGCATTCCTGGCCACTTCTGTGGTTACTAACCTATTAGTGAGCCATGTGTTTTTATTGTCACATATATCACCATTATCGACCTCGAGTGGGACGGCAGACTGAAGGCCGTCCTTACGCTCATCTCTAGTAAGCCTAGTTTTATCACCTTCCCCCTTCAAGCCTAGTTTAAAGCCCTTTCAACAATCCCCGCCAACTCCTGTGCAAGGATCCTTTTTCCCCTTTGAGACGGATGTACTCCACCTGTCGCCAGCAGACCAGGTACCATATAAACTTCCCCATGATTAAAGAACCCAAAATTCCAATAGTGGCAACAATGTCTGGGTCACGCTTTAATCAGGTGTGTTTTCCACCCTCTTTCGGTGTTTTTCCCTACCACTTGAGTGTTTGATGAAAACACCACCTGCGCACCCAAGCCTTCAACTAGTTGCCCCAATGCCTTGAAGTCCTTTGCCTTTGGACTTTCTCTCTGTAACCTCGTCATTGCCAACCTGGATAACTAACAAAGGGTAATAATCAGACGGCTGCAGCAGACGAGGGAGCTTCCTTTTTACATCTCTAACTCGAGCCCCAGGGATGCAGCAGACTTCCCTGTGGGATGAGTCTGGTCAACAAATGGGCCCCTCTGTTCCCCTCAAAAGAGCCATCTACTACAGCTATCCTCCTTTTCTTTTTAATTGAAGAAGTCCTGAGGCGTGAGGGTGAGTGACAAGCCCTGGGCAACTCACTGGATGGATCTTTGTCTCCATTTGCCTGGCCAAAGTCTTTAATTTTCAGACAGTCATGCATTTAACTGTGATTATGTTAATAGTTCAGTGAGATTAATAAGTGGGCAAAGTCGAATGCAGTCAAAAGTCTGGGTAGAATGAGAGCCAAATGAACATTTTTCTTTACTGTACCAAGTGTGGTTTTTGTTTTTTTGAAGAGGCACCGTTACAAAGAAAACAGATAAGCTCTAGTTGTGATGAGCAAAACTAAACCCTGCTGAAATTTGGTTCCACAGCAACAAAGAGGAAAAACTTCTAATTAAGAAAATAAAGCTTCAGCCTACATGGATAACCTTTCATAGAATCTACCTCAACCTTTTCAGTTTGACTGAAGTGTTTTAACATGCAACATCAATTACAGGCTTTGATTTACATAATTCAATAGCTCTTGTGCCTTTGTGTTTTTAGGTTTTTCCTCCTCTGCCACAGTTTCTTGTAGGTTTTTACTTTCTCATCAGACAAAATTTTTAGATCTTTCTCAATTTAAACACATTTTGTTACTGACCTACGCAAAGATAAATTGTCATGTTACATTTTCAAGCTGACTGCATGATGAAAATCAAAATGATCTTGGATATGACATTTACATCATGAGTCCTGCAGGAATTTGCTAGGGGGAAAAGGGAGCACCTTTATTTTGATGAAGGAGAGTAAAATAATGATCTGTTTTTAAAAAAGTAGGAAATTACAGGTAGGTGGTTATGATTTGTTAGAAAAGGATACTAATAGTGAAATTGCAATGGTGCTTGAATGGCAATTCTATGTAAAGGGAACAGTGTAGCCAAACGGTTGGGACTTGCCATAGAGTCAGGACAGTTTCTTAGTAGACAGCTGAGATGTACTTTGTGACCTTAAACAAGTGGTGTAACTTTTTCTGTGCCTCCAGATGGGGCATGTAAACAATTTACCACAAGACAAGGTAGAGTAGGAGTGTACAGCATGCCTCAGCTGCTCCTATGTTTTCTTTTACCCATGGGAAGTATATTGTAGCTTGTTCCTGTTTACTTGGGAGTAAGGAATACACTGATCATATTTACAGGTTTTAGAAAGTTCATATAGATGAAGGAGCACTGTTACGAAAGAGTACTTCCACGAAATATGTTGAACATGCCCAATCTGGCTTATTTGCTTGTTCTTATATACTTGGTGCTCATGTCTGTAGAGTGCTAATAGTGACGTGAAAGGTTCCGTAGGGCACTTTTTCTCATTACAAACATGCTTGGAGGTTCCTGGAATAGTTGTGCCTCAGTGCAAACATTATATCAAAAGGGAAAGCAGAACTTACTTTTGAACCAGATGAGTGTGTCAGCAGAGTTTTCTATTACCTATAGTATGCTGGAGTGATACATTGCAGAGTGTCAGCAGCTGCTCCAGTAGTAACCAACCTTCATTCTACTTCCGTAGATTTCTTAACTCATTGAAAATGCACTTTAGTGGAAGAAAATGCTGATTTTTTAATTATTTTTCCCCCATCATTGTGCTCATGATGGTCCGTGAGAACTTTGGGTAAAATTCACAAAATACTTATGGCTGTTGTGCTACCAAGGTGTATTCTGTACTCGGAAGGCTTTATATGCTTAAAAGGAAAGTGATGGAGATAAGACAGGGCTGCTGTCCTGTCCCAGCCCCACTGGAGCTCACAGAGCAGTGCTGGCAGTACGTATATTCAGGCTATGGGACATTCTAAACAGGGTTAGAGCAAAACTTCTCTATGAGATTTGCTGAGATGGGGCTACCATCATCCACCTCTGCTCTGGATCCTCTTAAGATGAGCTATGCACTTGTAGCAAAATCACATATACTAGTTTCCTGGGCTGGCATGACACTGACAGTGTCAAGAACCACCTGCCAAATTTGGGAGGAGTTGTCCTTTGTCTTCGTTTCCAGTGCTGAGCAAGGGTACAGAAGAGGTTGCTTCACTTCTGAGTGAGCCACAGGCTTTTTTGTGAAGTAATACGAAAGATTTAATCTCTCTGCAACTCCCTATCTATGAAACATGGATAATAATGCATCCTGGCCTCACAATAGGAGGTGAGGGTAATTAATTAGCTTCAAGCAAACGTTGAGATGTTTGGAATAACAGGGACAGCATGCTGTCTTAGGCAGACATAGAGCTACACAGAAATGCAGATTCACCTTGCATTAGCTCACTCCTTGGTGAGTTATTCCAGATTTGCACTTAAGAGCGGAAGTTTGCCTTGGGTTTGACATGTGCATTTAGTAAACTACATCAGAGTAATTTTGGGGTTTTTTTTAGCTAGATAATTTTTACATACTTAAAGGTAGAACAAAATAAGAAATTAAGAAAATCATAGAATCATTTACGTTGAAAAAGAACTTTAAGCTCATTCAGTCCAAAATTACTGCAGTGCAGGGTGCTTAAAACTTCGTGCTACCTTTTTCAGCTGATAAATGGTGGTGAAGATGTGTTGATATTCTACAACGACAGAGCATCATTTCCAGTCCTACTCCAAATGATGTGTTCAGAGCGAGATCGAGCAGACGAGAGCGGACCCTTAGCATATCACGTCACTCTGGTGGAATTGCTGGCGGCTTGTACAGAAGGAAAGAATGTATACACGGAGATCAAGTGCAATTCACTCCTGCCACTGGATGATATAGTGAGAGTAGTGACCCATGATGACTGCATACCTGAGGTAGGATTCACTGAATGAGGAAGCAGACTTACCATTTTCAGAAACTCAGAAAATGTTTTGTTGTTTGTAATATACTGACAAGTTGAATACTTGCACAGAAAACAGACTGGAAACAGGTGTTGTTTGTTAAAGTAAGTGAGAAAGGGTAACCATTATTTTTTTGAAGAGTAAATTTATTTATTCTTTGATCATCAGCTTTTTGGGGCAGACACCTTGTTTTGTTTTCTTACATTTGTCCAGCCAAGGTCAGAGTTTAATGCTGTGATAACTTCTGGCTGTAGTTGCGAAGCCTCAGCTGAGTGGTTTGTCAGGCCAACTTTTTGCTACTGCCTGAATTTGTTGGAGATGATGGGTAACATTCTGGCCACGCTGAAGTCAGTGGGAGTTTTGAGTGAAGTCTTGTTTTATTAAATTCAATTGCAGTCCAGCAAATGTTTTTATTCACTGCATATCAAGGCCCAATCTGCAGCTACTACCAGTCATGCTTCAGGACTGTGATACCTCATGCTGACCAGAAGGGAAATGTTTGTTTGAACCAAACCTGATGTGATCAAAAGAAATTTTTTTGCTGTCTTTCCAAGGAGCTTGCTCTGGCCTTGTGTATCAGCTGGACGGATTTCTCCAGGCTGTCTGGTGGAAAAATGTGCCTCATATCAACAGACTTGGGACCTGCAGGAATAAAGACTCCCTCCGTGCCATGAAAAAGTCCCCTTGTGAACAACTGATACTTTTCTTAAAATCAGAAATGTTTGCTTGCTCAGAAGTTCCTCCTAACATTAATTTCAACAGATGCTAATTAAAAAAAAAACCAAGCAAATGAAACCTAAAAGTCTGAGATGAGTTTTCTCCTGACTGCATTAGACATATGCAACTGTCTCCTCTCCTTTGACCATAAAGTCTGTTAGCTGCTCATTAGCAGCTCACTCCTCTGGGGATTGCCAGGCAGAAGGGAATATAATAGTGTATCTGCATATGTTTATATTTCATCTATATATTTCAGGCACTAGATATCCATTTTTATGATGTGCACATGCAGACTTGTAACGCAGGAGAGGAGTGAGACTGCAGTCCTCGTGTTACATTTTGAGCTGCTGTTGCTGCAGTCCCAGCACTGCACAACTCTTCTCTTCAATTTATATCCCTGTTAAACCCATCCTGAATGCAAGCGCTGCATTAGAGTTGTGAGAAAATAGGAATTGCAGTGCCAGCCCTGCTAAAGCCATTTTTCTGATATTTGACAAGCCTGTCACAAGACATCAACACACAGCAGTCAACTGGCAAGTGCATTTTGACAACTCCCGGCTTTGGAGCCAGGCCCTTATAATTTTAACATCATTTAAATATCAGATTTATTATTTGTTTGTTTTGTGGGGGTTTTGTTGTTGGAGTAAGAATGTTTTCTGGTTTTCTTCATGCCATCTTTCAGTAAGTACATTAATGCATTTGTTGCTGTGCTTCTCCTTAAATCTTCAGAACTGAACATACCCATTATTACTGTTATTAGTGTTTGTTAGTACTCAAAGGACTGTGTTTACTGTTCAGTATTTCTGGAGATAGAAAACGTCATGTTAATGTTTTTTACCGTTCCATTTCATATTGTTTGTGTTTTTGCTGTTGCTGCAGGTGAAAATCGCCTACGTTAATTTTGTTAACCACTGTTATGTGGACACTGAAGTGGAAATGAAAGAAATCTACGCCAGTAATCATATTTGGAAGTTATTTGAGAACTTCCTTGTTGATATGGCAAGGGTAAGCTTCATGAGATCTTAAATATTACAGTCCAATCATAGGTGGCAACTGAACTGGCAATAACGTTTTTAGTGAACTTCTTTTATTAACTATTTTCCTCAAAGTTGACAATAGGGTAAGTGTGGTGTTTTCTGGTTTTGTTTTATTTTTTTACCAAACTGTCTTTCTATGTTATTTTTCATCATTTAACCTGCTAATTACTAGCAGTCTTCTCTTTCTAAAAGGGCATCTTGGGACCCATGTTTCTTTCTCTGTTCTTCCAGAAAAGTACATTGGATGCATGTACAGGGTTGAGAGTCTGTGTATGTCTTCCAGGAGCATGTGTTACATGCCATTATGGTGGTGACTTCAAAAAAAACAAACAACCCATCTGCAGTCTTCTCACTTTCCTTTGTTAGTACAGTGAGGATCAGGGATCACGTAGTTGTTTGGCTCATGCTTCTTCTTTAATCTCACTTTGGGCTGGTTTTGTCTTTTATTCTACTGTCACTGCATTCTCACTGCTAATGTGAAAGACAAGTGTAGAGCTATGATCTTTCAGAATGCTAATTAATGTATGAACTATAGGCTGCAAGGTGATGGCCCCCAGTTAGTACCGTAGGCATTCAATTCCTGTGGACCCTAGTGAGCTTCACGGTGTCATTATTTGTTTCAAGTCAAAAGCTGAATTAAGCTTCCATTCTCTGGTATTCTGGAGATAGAAATCTTCTGACTTCCAGAAGGATAAAACACAACAGTGGAGCCATGAGGGGAAGTGAGTGTTACAATGATTACAGCTTACATTACATATCCTTTTCTAGGAGATTAATGCTTCTTGTAAGAGTCTAATACTAATGGTAACTAATGGCATTGCTCTTTTTGCTCAGGAAGGAGAACCACAGGGTTTTGGTGTCCATGGACTGTATTTGATCCTTGAATGCTGGGTAGTTATTCTGCAGATGTTATAAAGCATGTTGTCATAGTGCATGCCTATTTTTTCCCAGTCCATGGTCCTAACATTTTATAGTCCTTTAAGTTCTCACTCCTTGCGTTCTTCATTGTGTTGAAATAACAGTAAAAGAATTTCAATTCAGTCTTGCAGTGGACATTTTCCCCAGAGTAATAGTGTGCCACAAAGTAATTTCTTTGAAACCTATTGGGAGAAAATACCATTAATTATGGCCAAAAGAAGAATGAGTGCAAAGACTTGTGCTGTACGATAGGCACTGGGACCTGTTCATTTCTCTGTGAAGCAGAAAGGGTATAAATGGTTGGACTTTTTTTTCTTGTTTTTTTTTTTCCCCCTGGGAACAAGTTAAGATAGGGATGTTTGTGCTCTTTTTTTTTTTTTTTTGGTAGTAGCCATTTCCAGCAGTAATGAGACCTCTACAAGCCCTGTTTTCCTGATGTTTGTCTTGTCTCTGTGATCATGTTCTACAGTGAAGGTCATAGGATCATAGAATCATAAAGGTTGGAAAGGACCTATAAGATCATCAAGTCCAACCCACAGCCCTACACCACCCCAACACTAAACCATCTCCTGAAGTGCCACATCCAGCCGGTTGTTAAACACGTCTAGGGATGGTGACTCCACCACCTCCCTCGGCAACCCATTCCAGTGCTTCACCACCCTTTCAGTGAAGAAGAGGTTCCTAATATCCCATCTAAACTTCCCCTGGCGCAACTTGAACCCGTTCCCTCTTGTCCTGTTGCTGTTTGTTCTGGACAAACCAAGCTTGTTTGAAAATTAAGATCAGAAACCTCCTTGGAGGGGAATTCCGATTTTTAACCTTACTGGTTTTACACCAAGAAGTATTTTCTCCTGTTTAATTCCCTTTCTGGGTTGCCCTTTTCCTGATGTGTCCTGCCCCTAACCCTCCAAACAAACTACTCTCCCTAGCCCTTGAACGTGAATGATTTTTTTTGCCCTTGGGCTAGAAGCAGACATGTAGAAAGAGGGCCCTGTCCTCAGCTCCTTTCAGGAGCCTGGAGGCAAACTGCACGGTGCCAAATGATGTAGAGTTGTCCTGATGGCAGTGACTGCTGAGCTTGTTTTCATGTACCCTCCTCATAAGAGAAATTAAGACTCCAGGTCTTCAGAGGTGAAGAGTCGATGTTTTATTAATGCTATATTTTGTGTGCGTGTGCTGTTGGCACCGAATGGCAAAATGCAGGTTTATTTTGCTTTCCTGCGAGGCCCTGAGGGCAGATGCCTAATTAGTCATTTTAATTTCCTGGTTAATGGCTAAAAGAACTAAAAGAGCGTGTCAGACTGGTCTGGTGCGTCCTGCTCTTCAGCCAGGTCCCCGTGGGCAGCCGTATCTTCCAGGTTATTGAGGGCATTTGTTGCAGTTTGGCTTTCTGGGCCCCAGACAGAGCCCACGTGTTATAAATATATCAGCGGTGTGTAGCTATCAGGACAGTTAGAAGGCTCTCAGCCTTATGAAAGATGTTACAATAGCTTCCAAAGCATTTAGAAAAAGAGCCCTTTGATTCTCTGTGTTCCAGGGGATGCTTTTGCGTGGGGGCACGGGGAAATGCGTTTGTTTTAGCTGCTACAAATGCCTGTCAGTGGAGTGAGTTTCCGAGCTTTGAGCCCAAGTCTGCTATTAGAGAGCACTAAGGTGAAAAATGGAGAGTGTTGTCCTCAGGTTGGATTCTTCCTTTTTTATATATATATATATATATTAATATCCGTTTC